GACAGGTATGTGATATATCCAGTGCCGGTGCTTTTGCCTGCAGGGTAAGCTCTCACCCCTTGGATATTTTTGAATGGAAAATAAGAATACCCGTATTTTTTGGTTAACAAAATTATATTTAGAACTTAAAATTTCAACTTAGAAAAATCCTAGTTGGCGAGAGCTTAACATTGTAAACTTTTTGTTCGACTACCCTAATGTGCATACCCATATTTGTAAGTATGTATGTTTATTGGCTTGAATTGATGCCTTGTTGAATGTTGACTACATTGTTGCAAAACACACCGTTCCAGTAGCTTCTCCTTTTTGCGTTGGCTGGCCAGGCCATTTCTGTTTTCCATGTCAACTAGCGAGACCTTTTCAATGTGGCCTCCACAGTAGTCAAAACTACATTTACCTACATACTCAACACATCTGTACACGTACACACATCCATATCTACAAGACGGCAATCTCCAGTCGATAACCCCTGCTGTGACATTCCGTGCCGATGACAACATGCAACAACAGGTTGCCTACCCAAAAGTCTGTCCCAGATAGAGGTTGTACCTACATATCTGTGGCAGCAAAGGTATTGATGTTGGTGTTAGCGATGGCGGTGCCAGTGATTTATGACTCTTGTCCACATTGATACGAATGCTGGCCAATTGCATATGTTGTTGTTTTTGGCTTTCTTTTGATCTGTCGATACATACATACATACATATGTACGTACGCAATTGCATACTCGTATTGGCAAATTAACAAATATTTTGTGTGTCAAATAGAGGCGACATAAAGTGGAACAGTCAGCGGTGTTTTCATTGTGGTATATACACATATACCTGCATACATACATACATACAAGTATATGCATGTGTATTTTTGTATGCAGTTGCAGCTACTATGGAGTTTTTGTTCTTGCGGCAGTGCCGTCAAAGGTATGAATTTTGAAGCAAAAAATGCTCGAGGAATATGAAGTGACACCCGCAGTGCGACCTGTAGGTAGCGGGTCAACGCAATTGAGTTAAATGCGTGCGGATTACTTTGATGCCAACCTCAAAATTTGTCTAAAAGAGATTTACGTGATTACGAAATTTAAGCACATTTATTCAGATCTCTTTTCTGTCTTTATATGTATGTACTAACTGACTATGTGTTGCGTGTGCATAATTTCATACTTCCCTCTGTTCGTTCAAATTATTACACTGTGAACCTTATTCGCTGTCGTATTGCATAAATAAACATGATTACAGAATCAGCACAGATCCAGCCACCCACTTCATTCAATATCAGCTGGCTTGTCTAAATCTCTACATACATTAGGGCGGGCCAATTTTTTTGTTGACTATACGCGTATAGCATCGGAGGATTCTACGTGTAATTATAAGCAAACTTGCCGAAGAAACCATAGTTTTAAAATCAATTCGGAGTTTTCCAAATTGGGGAAATAGATTTCAAAGAAAATTTGATCATTTTCACTGTTGCGCCCTCTAGAGGAAGTTTTTAGAAAAAGATAAGTACAGAAATGGATTCCGCATACCAAAAAAACCCTTATAGCATGTTTTTATATACAATTTAAGAACTTCTTTACCACACTCCCAATGTAGGAAATCTTTTTCGCAATCTGACAAACTCCAAAGTGATTTTAGACCCATGTTTTATTTGGAAAATTTACTTAGAATTACACGCAGAATCCTTTTGTGCTATACGCGCTTCGTCCAAAAAAATCTCCCATACAAATTGACCCGCACTAATATACATATAAGTACTTATGTTTGTACATATATACGCGTGCATATGTTTATAATTTAAGCAGTTGGGTGTTGCTTACACATGTACAAACATATTTACATATGGGAATACGTATATGTGTATAACATTAGAGCAGGTCACGAAAAAGTTTGTGCTCTATCTCCCTTTTTTGGGAAGGGGAATTCGACGTCTTAAAAATGTTCATCCTTATCGAGTAATAAGAACAGAAAAGATGAGAAAGAAAAGAAGTCAATCTCAATCGCAGCGACATCATATACAGCAATAGCTGCTGGCGTATGCAGATGATATCGACATCGTCGGCCTGAAACCCAGCAACGCCAGCCCAGCATTTTCCAGTTTAGAAAAAGAAGCGGAAGAGGTTGGTGTAACGAGGTGAACGAGGACAAGAAAAAGTATCTCCTGGCAAGACATAAAAAGCCTTCAAGTTTTAGTACACACGACACTGTTGGCAGTTATGACTTTCAAGTAGGGAAGGACTTTGTCAAGATGGAGATCAAGCGAAGAATAATACATACCCACACACACACACACACTTGCACAGCCCATTCTACACGAACTAAACTAACGCTCTACAAAACTCTCAGTACGGGCATGATCGTTTTAGATGACGCAGAAACATGGACGATATCGGGGGAAAATGGGAAGATTTTGGGGGCTTTTTCGAGTACTATTCGACGCAAAGAAGAAGCATAGCAGATGTAATTAACACGCCCATAAGCATTGCGCTGCTGGCTTGGGCATATTGTACGCATTTATGATGTTGCTCCCACCCGTTGGTGGATATCAAAATCAAAAGCGCCCACGAACACAATGAAAGGATCAAGTACAGAAGGACTATCTTACATTCGGCATGAAGACCTGGCGTAGAGCCGAGAAACAGTTGTTATACCAAATAAGAAGAAGAACAAGATAGCAGTGTTTGCTGAGCGTCATTTTATTTAAATTTTATTGGACGGTAATATTCTATCGAAGCCTGCCATCAGTGTCTATTGTGAACTCTATTTTGGAGGCCTAATTCGCATATTCGCAAAGGAAACGAAATTCCGTTTCCAAACTGTCAACCAGCAGCAGCTGGTGAATATTCTGTTGTAGGGAAGCCAATGGTCGGTGATAGTTCCTACCAGTGTGACGGTTTTGATCCAAGTGGATCAAAAGTGATACATTTTTCCGACGAATTTTGGTGGGATACTTCTTTTTAAATTTCGATACTTTTGGCCACCATAATTCAAACTAAACTATATGCTCTGTGTAGATGTGACCATAACCTAACAAGTTTCCATTTACAGGTCTATTCTGCACGTTACCAAAGATTTTGTAACCGAATGATTTTATTACTAAAAAATGTTACCAGTTCTTGTCACAGCGATTCTAGGTACGTTGGTAATGCAGATGATATATTCAGCAATTCAGCTATGAAGAATTGTGGAAGTTCTGGCTTTGCATATTTCACGGGGCAAAACTTTGTTACCAGATTATGAGATGGTAATCAAATTTACCGGGTTTAAAGGGTTTAAAAATTGGGACGAACTTTATTTACCGGTAACCAAATTTTTATTACAAGCGCAGAATAGACCTGTTAACCAGCAAAACTTCTCAAAGTAAACAAACATAACATAACTTATTGATAAACATAAACCCAAAAAATTTGTAGATGTGCATCTATTGCCCTCAACCTTAAAACCTTTAAAACGATCCTTCGCACCATTAAATCAGGTCGAATTTGGCTGCTTTTAGGACTCCACAAGGACGTTCGGAGTGATTTAAATATTTTCTTTCATATCGGGGCTGACCCCCTCTAATGAATAAATATATATATATACGTGTTATTATCTTGCTGCACTAAAGTAGGAGACAATGTTAATTTAATATATAACATATATGTATGTATGTATATACATGCATACATGAGAAGGGTAATGATAAAAAATATATTTACGTAGAAATGCGAAAGTCGGCGCAGCTGTTGAATGTAGTTCAAAATGTAGGCGTCGCATTGCATGGGCTTCCCGGCATTGCTGAATTCTAATATGTATGTACACATACACATGTATGTATGTACTAGGGTGTTCGATTATTCGACTTTTTCCAAAACCGACTTTCGAGTTAATCGAAAAATTGCTATTTGAAACAACCGGTTTCCGATTTTGAAATTAAGAAAAATCCGGATGAACCGACATTAATTTACATGGTTTTCATACACTGAAGATGCTTATGTTGATATGAAGTCATGACCCAAAATTAATACAATAAAACTATTAACCGTAAATATAGCTTTTATTTAGAAAAGAGCAAATCAAAACAAGTTGAAAGATTTTTTTAGATCAAATGTTAAATAACTAAATGTGTATCTGTGAAAAATTCACGTTGGGTCCTATTTTAATTTTTTTTAATACTTTATTGCATTTTGACTGATTTGAGTGTTGCTCTTGCCGCCGTTGGCGAGTGCTTAGATGTGCCTACTACCATGGTTCAATTTCTAGTCCCAGCAACATCAAAACAAGTTTTTTCAAATCTCCCTCCAATTGCGAAATTTATTCAAAAAACGGCAGTGTAAAGTCTCAATGGTCCGATTGAAACATAAAAATTTTAAGTAATTATTTTAGGGCGCGTTCACAAAGAAAGTCGAGCGGCGCCGAGCGAAGCAAGGCGGAATAAAGCGAAGCTGCTGGTGTTCACACTGAACTAGGCGAAGTGGGGCTTTTCCATGGACTCGGCTGTAAAGGTATCACAAAACTTACCGTCAATGAAAAGTGGCAAAAATATTTGCTAAATTTTATTCAAAAGATTAGTTATAAAATTCGTTTTTAACCGATTTCCAAAAAAGGAGGTTATCAGTTCGTCGGAATATTTTATTTTTTTTTTTATGTATGTTACCGCATAACTTTGGACCACGTCAACCGATTTCGATAATTCGGAAAGGTAGTGTCTCAGAGGTGGTCCCATTCTAATCTGGTTAAGATCCGATCAGTGGATCATGAGATACATATATACATTTTTTTATATGAGAGTTGAAGTTGGTTTTTTTTTTTGCTAAAAATTACTTGTTGTTTGAATATTTTGATATTTTGTTTGCAGCAGCGTCATGAAGCTGCAAAATTCAAAATCAAAAACTGCCTTGCTTTTAGCTCCAAAACGCTTACGAAAAAGCTTGCTGTATGAACACTTTCATATAGCTACAGCAATTTGAAAGCTTCACTCAGTTCGGAACGGCTTCGCTCGGCTCCGCTTTCTGTGTAAACGTACCCTTAGACCTAGAAATGGCATACAAAATAGGAAGCGTATATTTTTTCAAAAATCTAAGAACAACTGCCAATGTTTGCTTAAAATACAGTGAAACCCGCTTAAGTACCCCCCGCTTAAGTACCTTTCCCGCTTAAGTAACCAACATTTTTGGGCAATGTGAATTTTCGAATGTAATCTGAAGAAAATCCCTCTCTTAAGTACCTCCCCGCTTATTTACCCAACCCGCCCAAATACCTCAATTTTTCGTACCCCGTTTACCATTTTACCTACAGTTTTCCCTTTTAAGTGCTCTTTTACAATTTCTTAAAATATTTACATAATTTGAATCTCAGTGGCAGCGTTACACACCTTCAGCAAAAAATTCTAAAAAATCAACCGTAATTTTTAGCCACTTGAAACTTGGACATTATTACTCAAAAATTGAATGGGCTATAAAACTGTATACTCTAAAAACACATCTGAGAAAAAATTTTAATTTTTCATGAATTTTTTTCTTTAAGTGTTCTATAAAATCTTAAGCTTAGGTTTACATGGTATTTGTTAGGGAACGAACTGTATTTTAATTGAAAAATCTTAAATAAATACGTATACTTCATTAAATGTTTATGATTTATTCAAGGATTTACATATTTATCTAAGTTAACAAGAAGATGTAACTTCATCAATAATTATGTTTGCTTAAGTACCCGCATCGAGGTACTTAGCGGGTTCTTTTAAGTACCCAACCCGCCTAAGTACCTCAAAAAGCTGACATTTTTCGTGAGGTAATTAAGCGGGTTTTACTGTACTCCCAAATTTTAAATACGAATCCTCTGAGAAATATGATCCATATGTGAAGAAAGGGAAATAGTTTCAAAAGTATGTATTTTCAAGTTGTGGCTTAGGCAACAAAATAACGAATGAAAAAGAAAGACTTATCTAAGTTACTGGATAAACAGTTTTGGCGAGCATTGAGGGATTTGAAAGACTCGATTTTTTTTCACTGTATTGATAACGACAAATGCGAAATTGGCGATCAATTAAAGTATGTATTTGTTATGAGGCTGATTTGATAACAATTCAGTATGTCTTTATAACAAAACTTACATTACAATTTGAACCAAAACGTTATATTCTTTAGGAAGGGTTTAGTTTCTTATAATGAACTCATCAAAATGTTACATTTCCAATCAGTAACATTTGTTTTTTAATTAATTTTTAATAGCTTAAAGTTGAAACTATTTTAATATACAAATAAAGGAATAGTTTTATGTTTATTTAGGTTATTTATTGCCTGCAAAATCTAAACATACTTACTTCAATGATCAATAAAAA